TCATGGCTCTGACGATGTGACAGGAGGCCTCGGGCCGGGCAATTCGTTGAACGTCATTTTGCGCAGATCCCAGAATGAGCACGATCTTGGAGAAGATCGCCTCGATCGAGGCCGAGGTGAGTCGACCGTTCCGCGTAACTCCGCTGCGCGCTACCGCTCTCGCGGCATTACCGCTCACCCCGGCCTCCTCTTCCAGATGGCCCGCACCCAGAAGAACAAGGCGACTTCCGGGCATCTGGGTCTGCTGAAGGCGAAACTAGCCAAGCTCAGACGCGAGCTGATCACCCCGAAGGGCGGCGGCGGGGGTGGCGAGCAAGGTTTCGAGGTCGCCAAGACCGGCGACGCTCGCATCGGCTTCGTCGGTGCGTTCGCCTCCCCAGATTAGATCGATACCTTGTACTCCATTGTAGGCCGTGTTCTACCTTTATGTCAGTCTGATAGATTAACATCCCGTTAGGTCGACGGTTTCTCGATCCAATTGTAACGCGAGACTCTTTGGGAGTGCGATAAGATGTTGCAAATTATGCCGTACACGACACTGTTTCTTCCCGCGCATAAATTCACCCGGAGACTAAATTTGCAGGTTTTCCTTCCGTGGGAAAGTCCACTCTGCTGAGTACGCTCGCCGGCGTATACTCCGAAGTGGCGGAGTACGAGTTCACGACGCTCACAACTGTTCCTGGTTGCATAAAGTATAAAGGTGCAAAGATACAGGTAAATCCATTTCCCCAGAGGATTTCAGTTCGTTACATAGCGTGTGCGTTTATTTGCGCAGCAACTGCTGGCAGATAGCTACTTCTTGTCTTTGTTGCACATCGGATGATCTTTGAACGATGATAGAGCGATGACTTTGCAGCAATCACTGTGTAAACACCATTTTGTGCATTTCTTTTTTTTTGTAATGCGGAGGGAAATCCTATAACTTCGGGGTGCCATTTCCGACATATCTTGTGCACCTGATAAAATTGAGCGTTTGTCTGATTGTCCATCTTTAATAATGACATAAAAAAGTAATTGATACTACTGTCTCTGATATTAATGTTTCTAAATCTCTCTGAGTTTAAATTGACATAACTTGTACGTGGCAGTAAAATCGAGTAAGATTGTAACGGAATGCATGTTGCAGCTGTTAGATCTTCCAGGTATTATAGAGGGCGCGAAGGACGGCAAAGGACGCGGACGGCAAGTCATCGCCGTGGCGCGAACGTGCAGCTTGATCTTCATCGTCCTGGACGTGCTCAAGCCGCTCGGTCACAAGCGGCTGATCGAGCACGAATTGGAAGGCTTCGGTCTACGACTGAACAAACAGCCGCCAAACATAACTTTCAAGAAGAAAGACAAGGGTGGCATTAATTTACAAACGATGGTAAGCAAACGAGGCTCATAGGGGTTGTTAGCCTCTCGCCAACCCCCTTTTTGGAAGACAGGGATATGTGTGGCAGGATACTCCTGGTAGTTGCCACTTCTCTCCGAGAGAGAAAGGTAGCGTCCAGCGGTATCCGCGGGTGGATTTGAATTTGGATCTTCTCGTCCATTTGTTTATCAAGCAGCGCACATTTCTCTGCGCCACGCTCGCCACACAATAGCAGCATTGAACGTCGAAGTGAAAAATTATTGCGTTTGTTTCAGTGCCCGCAATCCGAACTGGATTTCGACACGGTAAAAATGATCTTGTCGGAATATAAAATTAGCAACGCGGACATCACGCTAAGATACGACGCCACGTCAGACGACTTGATTGACGTTATCGAAGGAAATCGTGTTTACGTCCCTTGTATTTACCTCTTGAATAAAATAGGTAATTGTGCAATGATTAAGTGCAAACTTACAAGTGTAATTGCAATAAGAACGGTCGACGATTAAGAATTTCCTCCCGTAGATCAAATAAGCATAGAAGAACTAGATATTATTTATAAAATTCCACACTGCGTGCCGATCTCAGCCCATCACAAATGGAACTTCGACGATCTCTTGGAGAAGATGTGGGACTATCTACAACTTGTTAGGATGTAGGTTTGCAATTTATATTGTTGTATAAGGTAATTTATATAATTCAATTGAAACGACATACAATTTTTATGTTTACAACAGTTACACGAAGCCAAAGGGACAACTCCCAGACTATAATGCACCCGTAGTATTAAATACCGAAAAGCGAACTGTGGAAGATTTCTGTAACAAACTTCACAGATCGATTGCGAAAGAATTTAAATAGTGAGTCTTGTATATTTCATTATTTTTCTTTTTGGAAAATGATTGTTATTTGTTCTTTACTGGATACTAACTAACTGGTCATGTTCTAGTGCGTTAGTATGGGGCTCGTCGGTAAAGCATCAACCTCAGAAAGTAGGAAAGGATCATCTTCTTTGTGACGAAGATGTTGTGCAAATTGTGAAAAAAGTGTGATGTTTTCTTTGTCGTTTTTTTGGGCAGCACAAATAAACTTGGCTAATGACATTAATGATGTCCGATTTGTAAAGAGATCGCATTTTAATTAAGTATAATGGATATGTTATATACGCACGTATAATATACGTAAGTTTAAATCGCTATTACATATATTTGAACAATGAGAAGACATGCAACATAAATAATGAAGAGCTACGGTTAACCTTTAGGATATTATAAATGCATTTGATTTTATATATGTGAAATCGTGTATAGAACAATCTCGAGATTATATTTTATACGTCATTAAAATTTTTTTCAATGAGTATATATCATGTAAAAAAACATTTTTTATCTTATATGTAGGATCAAAGATATCAATTATCGATATGGTATCGTATAATGTTATATTTTGTAGTGCATACAATTCATGACAAATAATTTGCTTCTTAAAGATGGAAAAGATATTTTCATACTAAAAATTAATTTATCCTCACATAAACATATATACACATAGAGTCTTATACATTAAGTTATTTACAAAGTTTTCAAAATGTATTCCTTTCTTTGTTGATCCAGTAATTTTTCCAGGTGTTCACGTCTTGAATTAGCGTCGTTAAGTTTTTTATTGAGGCTCTTTATAATTAAAACTTTTTGAGTGACTATAAGTTTTATCCTAAAAGAAAACATTATATTCATCGAGTCAATATTTGTCACAATGTGTTAATTTACGATGTCAATCTGTGTATTAATCTTATCGCGCTATCGGACGTTAATCTTTACCTGCTATGCAACTGTGCCATAAGTTGATCTCTGTTAATATTATTCTGTGTTATCTCTTGATAAAGCGATGCAATTTTATCTTCCAGCTCCCTTTTTTCCGTCTCAATTTCCTGCCGTGCCATCTTTTTTGCATCGTCTCTCTCTGCAGTTAACCGTACCATCATCTATAAATCGACGAATTGCAAATTTAACAACAGTAATTGTAACATTATTGATTATTTCCATGACGTTCACCTCATTCATATTATTGAGGTTGGATATGCATTCTTTTAATTTATTTTCTGTTTTCTGAAACTGGATTTCCGTACATTTGTATCTTTCTTCCAGCAATAGTAATTTATTTTTATAAATGCCCTCGCTTTTAACAGCGGCTTGCAATTTTGCGTCACAATCCTCTTTCACCAGTCTGAAAAAAATTTCGGCAGTTGAATCGTAATTTTCTTTATACTTAGAGACGTTGTAAACTTACTCCAACTTATTATCGAAACTTTGCTGCAGCTTAGCTTGCGTTTCACAAGATTCTTTTTCTAATCTAACTATAGCGATCTCTATCTGCTTGTCCCTCTCCTTTTGACAATTGTTACGAATTGCGCTCTCCGCCTTTGTGAGAGTCACGCTTTGTTCCTGTTTATAATTATCCGCCCACGCGAGCCATTCTTTTCTCAAGGATTCCTCGAAATTCCTCTTGGCAATTTCGTGTTGCTCTCTTAATCTTTCCGTTTCTTTCTGCAGGAAAAAAAAGTTAAATGATTATACAAATCACTGTTAAACGATTGTTTCTTGTTCAACGGTGAGAGAATAACTTCGACACCGACCTGAAAATGCAATTCCGCTCGTTGTATCGTCGCGCTTGTCTCCCGGTCGCGTTTCTTTTGCTCTGCAATGAGCATCGATTTCTCTCTTTCGAAATGCTCCGCGTATGTCTTTTGTTGCGCCTGAAAATGTGCCCCTTGCTCCTCCAGGTTCTCCTTGTACCTACTCAATATTATGATTTACACTGACTTAAGATTGTAGTAAAATTACAATTACACTTGGCAGGATGACGATACCTTGCTGCCAATATGTCCTTCTCCTTGGCTAACATTTTCTCGTGGCTGTCCGTCAACTCGATTCGCAATTGCTCCAATTGTTGATTCGACCTGCGCATCGCGCGCAATTCCGTATCCTGTAATTCTTTTATGTGCGCACGTCTTAACTGCTGTATCTCCTGCTGATGTTGCTCCATCATGTGGTGCAATTCTGGCTCTAGCCCTTTTACCGTCATCTCCTGCGATATCAGTAATCTTCACGTCATTTTTAACTATTTATCGCGTCGTGCAACTTCGTTGTGTTGTATAACATTTTGTCTGTACTGTTAATTATCACTTTAGACATTACAAATGGAAAATTTTAGGCAGAGGGGATGAGCAAAGAGACCAATACCGTGAACTTGGGTGGCTTTGGCACTGTTTCGATATTTTTTAGAGTGTTCAGACTGTGTGCAAATTTAACTTTTTAAATACCCATAGTACATAAAATAATACAAAATGGAGACAGCGATAAATAAAAAAAAATGTTGAGGTAAATTTGCACAGTATAAACAAATGCTGGAAAAGTGCCAGAGCCACCCAAGTTTACGGTAATGAATCTCCTTGCTCATCCCATCTGCCTAAAGATATTATTTTCCATTGAGTTTGTAGTTTCGAAAGTGAAAGTGATTTATATTTATTAGTCGACGTAAATTAACGATTACTTTGATCTTTGATGTTCTCATTTCCAGCCACCGTTCGCGCCGGATCTTCTCGGACGCTGCTATATTGTCCTTCGCGCGTTGCAGTTCGACGGCGTGCCTCTCGCTAATTGCTTTCAGGTCTCGCTGGACCTTCTGTTCCATCTCTTTAATTTGTCGCGCCAGAGAGTCGCATTTCTGCGCGAGATCGGTCTTCTCGGCGAGCAGCTGCTCGATAAACTTCTGATGGCGCTTCACGATCGTCCTGTACTTGTTCTCCAACTCCTTCGTCCTGGCAGCGTGATGGCGTTTCTGCGACGTCATTTTATCACACGCCGCCTTGCGCTCGGACTTCAATTGATCCTTCAGACACTCTATCGCCGCGTTTCGCTCCTCGATTTGCAACCTCGCGGTCTCCAAGTCGTCCCGTTGACAGCCGAGACTCTGCGCCTCGCACCTGCGGGAGGAGGAACGGTTTTCACATTATTTTTCGCCCGTTTAAATTTCCTTCAACGCGCAAACACGCCTTGCTTACGAGATACTAAAAGTCAATTCCCCACCTACTAGGATTTTGGCAGGACGAGAATACAGTTGTCACGTTATTAGCAGCGATGTCGGTCCCCGGTGGGTCTTCTGCAATAAAGATTATAACAAATAAAACGGAGCTCTCAAGTTTATATACAGGGTGAGTCGTTTTAATCGACGCACGCAAATATCTCTTCGGGGAAGGGGGCTAGCAAAAAATGACCTGGGCAAAAGTTGTAGTTTCGAGGGGGACATAAGATGGTGCCATTAATTTGACCTTGAATAGTTGCTTGAAGGTCACGTGAAAGTCACCTTCAATTCTTACGAACAACTTTTGTCTGAAACATTTTTTGATTTGTCTAATGAGACACGTTGTATAATTCTCTAACGATGCTAGTCTATTAATTCTAAAATATGCCACATGGGAATTGGACAGACCCGCCATTCGTATATTATTTTCGGTGTAATTGTTTCAAAAATTGTTTCATAAATTTGTAATAATTTTCGATTTGTCTAAAACATTTTTCCACATAAATATTCGTAAGCTAAGGACTCTAACGAGAACAACCATAGCTTTATTCAGTTGAAATTCGTTCAGTTTTGAAACAGTTGGTATTTAAAATTGTGAGAGGTCTATCCCATGAAAAAAATGAAAAGTTGACGTCAATTTGCTGTCATATTGACCAAAGTATGACTTAAAATTGATCAATATAATGAAATTGACATCATCTTCACTTTTCACTTCTCCTTGGGGATGAGATCCATGTGCGTGTTAGCCGAAGTTTCTTTTACGTTTGTTCTGGGGTCAAGTGTCAGTACCATTTTCTAGCGTTCCTAAGAAGGTCATGATGTCTTCGTAAGTTGTTGCAATTGACCCACATTTGTTCACGGCAACATCCTTCTCCGGCTCGATCTGCGCTCAATTATATCTGATTTTTAATAACGGAGCAACGAGTTATCGCGTTTACGAATATCGACGTAATCCTTGAATAACTCGGACTTTACTCTCAAAGACGAACTTTAACAAGTTGAACCTCCGCCGCTTACCTGTCCCGAGTACTTGCGCATTGCCGGCTCGAGATTAGCATCGTACTTGACTTCAACGGCCAGTAAATCCACCCGATCGCACTCCGCGATTTCAATATTGCTATCCTTTTCCAATTTCTTTATCGTGTCGCACAACTTCTCGAACGAGCTCGGCGGCTCGATCAAATTTTGATTGAAATCGTGTTTTTCCTCACGTAACTTCCGCGCTGCCATGTCCGCTTCGGTGCGTTCGCTTGCGGGAAAATGCGTTAAATGGGGCATGAAATGGGGCAGCGAGCCGGCCCACGAACTTATGCATTTATTTACGCGCCGCCCGCCGATCGCCATGGTGATGCACGTGTTGTAAACAAGGGTGAATGGGTCCTCTTTCGTGTCGGAGAAATACGACATGCACGCATATGCAAAATTGCAGGCGAACGGGAACGGAGAGACGATCGTGTGCTAAACCTTTTTCATTTAACCCTTTGGGACCTAATGCGTGATAAAAAATGTTTTTTAACAAGACCATCATTTATTACATATATAAATACTTACAAATAAGTCAATTGTACGAAAAATAGTACAGGGTGAAATGTTTGTGTATGTTACAATACACAAAAATTTTCAATAATTGGAGCACTATTGCAACAGCATATTCCTGAGACCAAATCAAGTAAAAAAAAGTAGTGTACTACTTTTCCCTCTGACAAACAGTTATCGAAATAGCATAAGCTAAACATTGAAAAAGTTATACCTTTTCTCTTGAATAGGAAAAAGTATTAGGCAAATCAAAAAATGTGAGCAAAAAAAAAACGAAGGATTATAGAGACAAAAGATTACATTTATCGGAATACAAAGAATTTTATCGTATTGTCATATCGGTCTCGGAGACCTCCCTCTTGCGCGAGAGGGTCTCGACTGCCTGTCCACTGTGGGATTGTCTACTTCCACCCCGATATCTTCCATTTCAGACCTCGGTCAAGAAAACCCCTATCCATCGGAATCCCGAAGGGAAGGATCCCTCTTATCGGGACTCCGACCTTATCGCCGCTGTCCGAGATCGCGTTTACCCACAGAGAGATCTCACCCCCTCGAGATCTTCCTACCAGCGCGACCCCCGGCGTGATCCTCGGGGGTGGCAATTCCCACAGTAGTCACAGGTGTCGGCTGTCGGTGGCGTTCGCGGGGCGAGGTTTCCTAGGTGTTTCAGGCGGCGGCGGAGGCTGCGGGGGCGGAGACCGGGAGGCCGCGGGGTTGACGAGGCGGGAGGGACGGGGGGGCGGATGGGACAGGCGGAGAGGGTGGTACGTGCAGAGCGGCCCTTCCGACCCCTCGCGGCGTACGGCGGTACGTACCGTAGGAGAATCGATCTAAAACTAGGAGTCGCCGCAGTAACCGCTGGGAGGAAGCCAGTGTTACAATTCGCGGGGGCCCCCGTCGTATGCGCCAGTGAAATCTTAGACGCACGCCAGTTTAATCGCACGTACGCACGGCACGGGACGGGACGGGTCGGGACGAGACGGCACGGCACGGTACGGCACGGCACGGCACGGCACAGTACGGCACGGCACGGCACGGCACGGCAAGGTCGTCGGGCCAGGTACGTCCACGTCGACGGACGTGTACGGCACGGTCGCCGCCAGCCCCTGCTCGTCGCTCCTCTCGCCCGCGTTCGCCACTCGCCCTCTCTTGCGCTCGCCGCTCTGTCCCTGTCCTGGCGGCACGGCAGCAGCACAGGGGCGGCCGGCCGGGGGTGGCCGTGCTTTAATCGCGGGATATAACGGAGGGTGTTGTGCGCTCCTCGCTCTCGTCTACCTCGCGTACGTGCGCGCGAGGGACGGAGCGAGGCGCGGCGCCGTGGGTGCGACGAGAGCGGTGAGCAGCATCTCGGGGAGGAGGAGCAGCCGCGTGAGGAAGGGAAGACACCACCACGTCCGTGTCGGCCGCCAGTGATACGAGTCAGCCAGAGCCAGACAGCCAGCCAGCCAGTAGCTACAGCCCACTTATTCGGTCAGTGAGTCCAGCCAGCCAGCCAGACGGATAGCCGGCCAAGCCAAGTGTCGCGCCCGATAGGAAGAAGAGAGAAGAAAAGAAAGAAAGAGAGCGAGAGAGAGAGAGAGAGAGAGGGGAGGGGGCAAGGAGGGTGCGAGAAGACGAAAGAAAGACAGAGAGAGAGAGACACCTTGCGAGGGTGTACGCGCGAGCAAGGCTCTGGGCGGACAGCAGCGCGACCAGAGAGCAGCATCCCTCGATATATAATGCGACGTGCAGCAACCTTCTTCCCCTTCGCCTTGGTGGTCGTTCCTTCGGAATAGAGCCGCGCGCTTGCTGCTGGGACGGTTCCTTACCTGCAGGGCTATGACGTAATGGCAAGAGAGGTACGCATACATCCTTCCGGCAGCTCTTCCTTCCCTTCTCGCGCGCATGCAGTCAGCCAGCATCCACCCCGCGGGTCGTCCTCGCGACGACACGGCCGGGAGGGGCGGGCGGGAAGGAGGACTCTCGCGGTCCCCCGCTTATTTGTATCGCGAGCGAGAAGAATCGTCGTCGTCGTCGTCGTCGTCGTCGGGAGTCGCCGTGTCTTCTCTCGGAGAGACGGCCGAGGACGCCTCTCGATGACCTATTTTCACGTGACCTCGTGACACCCGACGATCGGTCCTCGGCTCGCACCCTTCTCCTCCCTTCCCCTCCCACCCCCCCGGAGTGCATCACCCTCTCGGCAAGGCCGAACGGCCGAAGGGACGAGCCCTTCGGCCCGCTCCTTCCTCCTTGGAGACGCGCGCTTTTTTTTTCATCCCCCCCCGTCGAGAGGTGCTCGCGCGAGTGCTCCACTTTCTCGCCCGTGGAGTCGCACGGCCTCGTTTCGGGACGTCTCCTCACCCTGTGTGCCCATGAGATTGAGATTGCCCCGAAACGTCCCGATTACAGGACCGTGTTTGCTCAGGGGGATCCTTGGTGATTAATCCCTCGCTCTACCTACCAACCGTCCGCCCTGCCCTCGCATTTATTTCTCGCTCTATCGACTTATGTATATCGTGCGCGTGTACTCCCAGAATCGCCCCCCCCCCCGAATTCTGTCCGCGGATATCGCGGATTACGTCTCTCGATGACTCCTAATCCCCTCGCACCTAGCGCTCATTGTGACGGACACGCTTTTTCCTCATTTGTAATATGGCAGCACATAGTTGTAGAGATACTCGCTGGCTGTTGTCCTAGTTTGTGGACATGTTCTGAGTTATGATTCGAGTCGTTTATCACCATCCGCGATTTCTAAGGGGAATAATAAATAGAGAGCAAACATGTTCGAGCGTATCTCTTGATAAATAGAGAATTGGGTCTGCGGAATATTTAAGATTGTCCTCACTTGTCATCGTTTCTCCTTCGCATTGGAATTCATCACCTTTGCTAACGTGGAATAATCCCTTTCATTAGCATTCCCCTCGTATATACATTAAAAAAAAAAAGCTAAATAATTATTTCTCGTAAGAGAATTCCTAACTGTTTTAAAACGCTTAATTAATAGTTTGCATGCTTCTGAAAAATTTCTTATTCTTTACTGTTGTTTTTCCTTAGCTCAGCTTCTTATAATTTTATCTTAGGCGGATGATTCGAATTCCCGCTGTCACGTTGTATAATAATTTTTCTTCCTAACGTAACTTTCCGCGAGGCAACGCTTTTAACGTTAGCGAGATCTTTCGCGTTATTTTATTCGCACGTAGATTCTTCCCCGACACTTTTTTCCCATTTGCAAAGTCCACTTCATCACTTTATTCCTCGATAGAAGCCAGTTCGTCGCTTTCACGCGCTCGCAGAATCCCTGCATCCGTTTTGTCTACTGGTAGAAACTCTCTTCACGCTTTTCCCGCTCATATAGACTCGTCCTCATTGCCTTCTTACGATACACCCCCGCTACTCGCTCGTAGATTCTGCTTCAGCGATTCGCAGCATCCCGGAATCCTTGTCACTTATCAGTTTGCTGGAATCCTCTCGGGGAAAGTCCGCAAGATAGAAATTTTAAATTCAATGCGCTTTTTGCAAATATTCTCTCTCTCTCTCGACCTGTTTATATTGAAAATTATACACAGAGCAGAGTCGCGAGAATGTTACTCTTTCGTTCGTGGAATGCTTTTCTCGCTCGTAGAACGCTCTGTACCTCATTGTACGTTCGCCCGTCGTTACTTTGCATGCTCGCAAAATTCTTCCCGTCGTTCTGCACGCTCGCGGACTCTTCCATGTAAAATCCTTATCATCGTTTGTCACGTTTCGCAAAATTCCTGTCTACCTTTTGTTTCACTGCAGAAGCCCCTTCACGTATTTACAGTTTCATGTCAAATCCTCCGGAATATTCCGAAAAAGATCCTGCCGGATTTGACTCTACTTGCGATTCATAAGACAAATAAATACTTAAAAATGAATTTGTAACTGTTATTAAATAATTTTTACTCAGATTAAGGGAGGATTTGAAGGGATACTTTTCGGATTTCTCGTTAAAGAATGCACCTGAGCTCGTGTTTTCAACGAAGAAATTTGCATTCTCGGAGAGTCCACATTTTGCATGGCCTGTTATATAATTAAACGGAACATTCTGAAGGCGACGGAGAATCGAATTGTTCCTTTAACAAGTACGCGCAATACGAAATAAAAAAAAATATCTAAGAGCAAATATCGAGGAACGTTTCAATGCGAGCGCATCGGAAAGACGTCGTCGCAGGAGGGCGGGCTCTGTTAAATATTTGTTTAGCGTTATTCCTGGCTCGTCGGTTATTTCGAATTCCGCGACTTTAGAGCCCGCCGAGTGTGACGGATTTAAGTAAATCAAAAATTCGCCAGGTAGACGACGGCGGCGGCGGTTCTCGACGATACTTCGTTAAGGGATGCACCTGGGTACATTCACGTTGCAGCTGCAGGCGGTTCCCTATTTGCTCGTTAGCACGTTGCGATGTTGTTTACTAAGTTCCATCCACGGGCGGGTTCGCGAATGCGAGGGGGGGGGGGGGTTATTACACGAAAGAGGTTGATGGTATTGCTAGGATAAACGTTCAAGTCTATAGGCCTGTGAAATCTTTGAACTTCCGGGGTTCTGCTGGGCGTTTGGACTTTCACGTTCCGTAGTCGCTCCCTGAATCTTATCGAGCTCCTCTGTATTTTCATGTAACGCTGTCAATTATTACTCGTCTGGATTATTATTGTATTGTTACATAAATCTTTTTTATACCATTCAGTCTCTTTAGTCCGTGGGTTCTTCCCGGCCTCTTTTAGGCCCTTCAATTTTTAGCGTTAATTAAATCCGTAGATCGTTCGGTTAAATCGAGCACTCATACATGTCTTGCGTGTGCGCAATAATTAGAAATATCCAACAAATATGACAATGATAATGAAATCCGTAGATCCTCGAGTATTTCAGTAGACACCATAGATCGGTGGTGAGAGAAGCGCTGGAAACCATTGCGCTTTAAATTCCAACACTTTTCGACCTGAGAATAACTCTGGTCTGAAGGAGCGACAAAATTAAAAAAGCACCAACGAAAATCAATGCGATAACTGTGTAGAAAATAAAAATAAACAAATGGATTTTTTTTCATTCGATTAAATCGAGCACCCGTGCATGTCTCGCGCGCGTACAATAATTATGAACGTCCAACAAATATAATAATTATATATTAGTATGAATAATGAATGACCGGCAAATCCTGCTGCGCGCTGCACAGAATAAATAAGCGATATTACAAGTTAAGACCGGTTAAACCAGGTCAGTGCTTTCGATCATAAACTGCGCACGCGTCCTACACCCTTAGCGCCACCCCGTTGAGGACTAGGAACAACCCCAAACATAATGCACCCCTTCGGCTCGCATTATTCCGAGATCGCTAGCGACGTCGTCGGGATGCAATCTTGCCGATCGAAGAGTGCAGAAACGAGTGCGTTCACAGTGAGAAAGTTACGATAGAGTGCGCGGGACGAGGCAGGGGCGAATATTCACGGATAAATTGTGCGCGGTGCAATGTGCGCCTCTAAAGTAAACCGAGCAAATTAAAACAAATTAACGAAATACGTGCACAATTCACTGATTCGAAAAATAAAGCAAAACGCCGCGAAGTCTCCGAGTGGATACGCGTTGCCGTAAGTGTCCCGCCATGCGTTACTGCCCTTTCAATAATACGAGTATCGTTAGATGCGATCGCGTTTGGCGACTCGATGTAAATCAGTTTTACGCTACTTGATGTACACGTAAATCTGAGTACATAGGTACAGAGGAGTTTTTGCGTTGCGAATTTTGAATGCTCGTGGCGATCGTGAATATCTGAATATTCAAATTTCTAGATTCCGAGACCTGAGAGAAGGGGATGTCTCTTTAGATTCTTAGATGCGTGGGATTTCAAGTGAATCTTTAACCCCCGTAGGTTTAGGTCTAGACTTTTTAAACTCTGGAATTCGCAAATGCAGTAATTGCATTAAAGTGCGATAGTTCAGAAACACTTTGCACGCATCTGAACGTGTTGATTCCTGTTTTTTGAAAAATAATTTTCACGTTACTTTGTTGCCTCGATCGCCAATGTGTTAGCCACAGTCGTACGTTGGTGAACCTAGAACAATTTTTGTAATCCTGTATGTCCTGCATGTTAAATCGTACCTACATTTGTCGCTTGATTCTCATTTAAAATTTGCACCGGACTAGCACAAGTGATTTAATATAAGATGTGATCCTGTTGCGGCGTTATATTAAAAGTTTAGAAAACGGTGAAATATTTGATAGTTTTCACACGCGAGATTTTATTTACCGGCCGGTTCTATACGGCCACTATATGTGTACGAAGCGTGCTGGGAAATTATTTACTCCATTTAACATCTGGGCGACAAGCGCGTTTCCCGGGGTCAGTTCTTCAGGCCTGTTCGCACGCTTTTCTTGTCGCGAATTATTTTTAATTTGTTTGCGAATCATGTCTTATATATATGCGAAATTTCTTTATTTCTTCACGCTCCTACAAAGCGGGAGAACAGTTTATTTTAGTGATTTATCGTTTATGCATACATTGTATATGTGTATATGCAAATTTGGCAACTTTCAAATACGCACAATGCTGCATTTTCTACAGCCGTATGCGAAAAAGAGCTATAAAAAGTGTAAATCGCACGTTTCAATTAATGCCAGCGTAAGTCTGCTGTTTTACCCTTTTTCCAACGTTCAATAACTTTATTTTTACAAAGCGCTTTAAATGCCTGCAAGCTTGCATGAGCTTCCGGAGAACATTTAAGGTCAATAATAAATCGCAAATGTCAACCATTTTTAACTTTACCCGCGCATTAAAGTGCAATACACACTGGCATTTTTTCACTGTACTAAAATTAATCGATGTCAGATGTCATGCCCTTTCGATCACGCAAAAAATTTCCCTCTCTTTCTCTTCTGGCGCTTGAGATTTTTTTTAAAACTACGTTTAACATTTTTCTCGTAAATTCACATTCCATTTCTCCCTTAGTTCGAAAGTAATAATTAACATCACTCGTGTACGTCACTCGTATTTCAATAATACATTTTAATTGTTAAATATTAATACTAATTCTCTCATTCTCTGGTGCAGGAGTTACGGACCAAGAGACCTTTTAAGATATGGGACAGCTGGCGTAACGTAAGAAAGGGACTGGTCGCTGGCAATTTCGAAGAGTTGATTGCCCGAGGTGAGGAATATCTAAATTGAAGTCTACAAGTTTAGTTATTACTCAATAAATTGAAGCAAAAGCAATTAAAAGCCAAATTGCGTTTATAATACACCTTAGACATTAAAGGTGCTTCCTGTATCGTTAAAACGATCTGCAATTTGATTAAAACTACGCATCCAAAATGTCTGATTTAACAGAACAAACGTTTCTAAGGCAGCCATTTATTATCCATCTGTCGTTTTCTACGTGTAAATTAGCGCGTTGAACGTGGATGTGTATCTTGTTCTCGATATTCAAGATATATTGGATTACTAGTTGCAAGATATTGCTCCTTTATGCAGAACATCTTTTTAAAAGAAAAGGATTGCTTTCGGGAAAGAGAAACCGGAAAGATCTGAAAAAGACTTTGAGGAAGATGTCAGATTCTTTGGAAAAAATGTACGCACAGTGTCGCGCACAGGATAACTCCTGCAAGCGTCACGCATTGTCCTTCCGGAGTACGGCTCTCTCCACCTGTCCGGCCGACCGGCGAAGAAATATTTCCGGTCGGAAATATTTCCGCGCGGCGTATCGCGGCGCGGAATTGCATTATCTGTAAAGTTCCTTTGAAAGTGTCGCTCTCGCAGCACACATTTCTCGCAACATTTCTCAGAAACAAAGCGCCGTTCGTTCGTTCGTTCGTTCGTTCGAGGACGCACCACCATTATTCGCAACTACGCCATTCACACGATTACACACAGTACACGCGACACGTGGCACACGCATATGCGCGTTCATTTAAACGGAATACATAACACACACACACACACAGATGTGCACGCGCGCACGCACACGCCCACGCCCACGCACACGCTGACGTTAAAGCGTTATCACAACCCTGAACGCCATCTGACATCCCGACCCTTGGGCCAACCCTTGCTTTCAGGTAAGGAAAAGCTGGGCGTGCCACAAAACGAGAATGTCTCGATAGTCTTGGAGTCGGACGGCACGCAAGTTGAGGACTGCGAGTACTTCAAGACCCTAGGAAACAACACGATCCTGCTCCTGTTGCGGCAGGGCGAACGCTGGTGTCCTACTGGCGTCGACATCATACGCGCTGGTAGGTGAAAGGGACCACACACAGATCGACTTTAGGAGAAATCGGCAACTTGGTTGAGGAAGCTAAGATTGGAGCAACACGGGCGACAGAACATTTATAAAAGACACCTAAAGGAAACGTGAATGTCTAAAGGATTTTAAAAGACGAGGATAGTCAGGGTACTTTACAGACGTCATGTCATACGATAAATTAGATTCACAGGTAGAAATGAAATTCTTATCAGAGACCTTTAACGATCAACCAAGTAGCTTTTCTTCTGCACTCAAATGTCTCGACTTTCTGGATTTTTGAACCCTCGAATATATAGCTTCTTTAGAGTCATACGCGCTGCTATGTAAAGGGGATATTGCAACGATCAACTTTGGTTGATGGAAATCGACAACTTGGTTGAGGAAACTAATCTCGAGGCAACTGATAAAATTGAAACTGATCAAACTGAATTACATGTGGATCAAACTGAATCCTTACACACACACAAGCCTTTAAACGATCAACCAAGTAGGTTTTCTTCTATTCTTAAGCTCTCTTTAGATGTTTTGGATTTTTTAAGACAATCTTCTTTATCACCCGAAACCTCTTTAGACTTTTGAATCCGTAAGTTTTTTGGCTTCCTTAAGATTTGTGGATCTCGCACTCTTGCGATGGATCACCGGCACTGATTGTCACGCCTTGCAGCACCGAACACCACCCGTATCCCCCGCAGCCGCGGTGTCCACCGATAACTCATATAACACGTTTTCTCTTTCTCTTCCCCAGCAATTTCGGCGATCCCGAAAATAGTCTGCGAGACGATCCACGCGCTGGAGTTGCACGATGAGACGCCATCGTGGAAAATCATGGACAATAAAGGCCGAGTCACAGTGGTGCTGCACTGGGACCAGCGCTCGTCATCGTCGTCGCAGGTGCAGCAGCAGCAGTCGAAGCCAGGCCCAGACGCCCAGACCTCCAAGTATTCGCCGACTAAGAAAGTTGACCTGAATGGCGGCCAGCGGCCGCCCCTGGTGATCCAGACCAGCTTGGACAAGCTCGGTTATGACGGCAAGGCGACGCCCTTACCCGGCGAGATCGCCCCGTCGCGGTACATCAGTCCGCGAATCACTGTGATAAATCATGACGATATGGTATATTCAATTTGCAATTTTACTTTAAGCGTTTCATCTCTAGATTTTCGTTCAATCGCACAACTTTCTAAACCCTATCGCAGAATCTATGATTGAAAGGATCAGTGCGCGACCGCGTCATCCAATTCATTTTCTTAAAGTCCTGAAGAAACTGATCCGTTCATGCTTTTAAGAAAATGGGTCAGCTCAACGTTGCACTGAACTTTTCAATCTCAACAATGATCTACCATACTAATCCTATAGCCAAACATCCAAGGGCTTTATCTATAGATCGTAGTCTTTTGTCAACCACGATTTTTCTAAACAATCAATTGACAGCTCATCGTGTTACTTACAATTACAGAGGTCGATACGGCATTGGTTTTTTTTATGTTAGTTCTTTAAAGATTTTAAGAAAGTAGACTCTATCATTGTTGTACCGTTAAATTCTCCAACCATGTTAGCTGTCTCACTTTCGAAAAATTCTGACGCAAACTAAATCTTTATCTATGACGCTGTAAGCTTATCTTTATCGTAACAGCAGCAACCGGGGCAATCGCACCTGCCGGGCCGTCTGGTGAAGCAAGGCACGAATTCGTTCGACAGTACGACCATCCACATCCATACGCCCGAGTGCTCCAACCACATTCACCAGCCGGTCGCGCGGAACGGCAGTCCGGTGAATGGCGCCGACGGTGCCATCGGCGAGTGCGATTTCCACTGCTGCGCCCTGCACGAGGAGGGTCGCAGGATCGCTGTACATAAATCGGTAGCGACGTCGCCGATCCAGGACGCGCAGCATGCACAGTATCACCCGCATCATCCACATCCACAGCAACAACAGCAAACGCAGACGCCGTCGCCTCAGCCACCGTCCTCTCTATCGGACGGCACCAAGCGACCTGGCCTGAGCAAAGGCCATGTTCGCTTTCGCGATACCGCTGACGAGGAGTCAAGCTCGCGTCTGGCCGGTGCCGCTGGCTTCCACTTACATCACAATCATCATCATCATCCTCAAGAGCATGACAGCTCCGAGTCCGAGACGGAGAACACAATAATGGAGGACGAAATTGTGACCTCGGAGAAATTTTTGTTACTGATCGATCAGCTGACGGTTGACCAGAAGCACCACCTTAGCATCAAGGACATTGGCATCATATTGGAGCGACTTAGCTCCAAAATCCTCGACGTCGAGCGGCTGGATCGCGAGAGCGAGAGCGAGGAGTGTTACAATTGGACGATCAAGGCGATCATACGGGGCGATGTCCTGCGGGAGCTCGGGGTGATCTACAATGGGAATTATTACGCGATCTCAGAGCATCCCGGCTACAAAGAGGAGTCCGAAGAGAATAACGAGGATAACGAGGAGGAGGAGGAGGATAGACTTTAATATGATGCTGTTTTACTAGATAGATAGATAGATAGATTATACATCTATTCCTGGTTATTATTAAATTAGGACACGTTGTCAACGGAAATAAGGACGGAGATATCACGTGGTATTTCCATTGAGTCCGAGGATTTTTTGAAAATGTTGAGAAAAATTGAATAAACCCGAACCTTTTGTGAGTTTCCTCTGGGAGTCTGTAGCGTCTCCTAGAATTTTCCAAGGGATCTCTGTGATCATTCAAGGATTCCCAGTGAGCTTGGGTTTTCTTAATATTTTCTAGGAATTTTCTAAGATTAAAAGATACAGCATTGTCTTGTGCCAAATATATGAAAGTTCTACAGAATTAACCGCCTAAGATTCGATGAACTTAGAATTTTTAGACCGAATCTTCTAAGATTTCTCAGGATATTCATACAATTTTTTGAGATTTTGGAATTTCCTCCTCAGGATTCCATAGGATTTTTTAAGGAAATTTTCAACGTTATCCGCCCTGTAAAATCTTACGAATCTGTGTAAAATCCTATGTGCATTTAGAATTTACATTATTAATTTTACAAGTTTCTACATTGCCAATTTTAAAGATGTCCAGTGTATTTTTAATTTAGAATATTTTTTGATAAAAATTTTAAACTTCTTAGAAGAAATTGTATAATTTTGTTTTAAATTCCTACATTTTTGCATTATGGACAATTTCATTTTCTTGAATTGTAGTTTATTCAGAACCTTGGATCCTAGATTCCTCCCTCCTAGAAGTTATGGGCACCTTAGATTTTAAATAAAATATCTTACAATTAAACTAAACACCATAATTCTAGGTGCCTTAGATTCCAGGTATCTTAAATCGAACAGATTCAAATATTTTAGATCCTAGGTACTTTAGACCTTAAACATTATGTAAATTCTAAATTTCTTAGATCCTAAGATTTAAATTTTTAGATCCTGAGACTCGATTTGAATACCTTTTTTCTTCAGTCTATATTTGTGATTCTTTAGAGCTGTGTATTAAATAATTTCTAGAATTACTACGTGCTCTCGGAGAAATCTGAATGTAAAGAGAAGTCTTAGGAGACTATCGAAAGGATTTTATAATTTCGACTATCGAGATTATAAAAAGATGAAACTTTAATTCAATTGTTTCATTAGAAAAAATATACATATAGATTATAATTAAAGAACTTCAGTGCCACTGTCGCATAGCTTTACTTTTGTACAATTTTGTGGATGTTAATTTTCGAATTGAGGAAATTTTGATAAATATTCCCAAATTTTACGAAACGTTGTGCCAAATCTTTTCATTCGTCATTATAATGACTTTGCATATCGGTCTTACAAGCAATCCAAAGATCGACAGCTTTTTCGAAATTCATAAAATCCTCGGATCAAAGACGAGATCCACGGAAAAGCGAAAACCGAGTGACGCGTGCGAATTACATCCGCGTCGCGTGGAGGAACGTAATTCGAAAGACGACAGAGGGTAGATCGTGACGCGCCATTTCTTCCGAATATGTTTCTTAATGAGAAAAAAAGAGAAGAAACAAAGCAAGGGAAGAAGGGGATTGCAACGTAATGGAATCATGTAATATGATATAATATACAACTTTATTAAAAACTAGTTCTAAAGACGGTTGTTGAAATATGTACTTATTAAAACTAGTATGTATACTTGTAGGAAACATTTTTGGGATTACGGACGTCGATTCCGTAACCGTCCACAACACTGCCCTTGAAAGAGAAGTGACAAAGTAAAAGGGTGAGAATGAGAGATAGACAGAGGAAACGGGAGAGAAAAGAGAATGTACTAAAAGTGGCATGGATAGATACAATTCGACTCGACAAGATTCGGCTAAATTCGATGAAGTAATTCTTTCTTTTTCGTTCGTTGCAAATAACCTAATTCTTTATTCTATTTAATATTCTAGGATAATTTGTAGATTCACAGAAAATCTCAAGATCGCTTTTTGAACTTCAACTGCCCAGCAAA